CAGATAACTAGTCAGCTATCTCAAACGTAGCTTGAGAACTGGTCAGCTACCTCAGACTTGTAGTAAACTGGCTAGTCAAGTGACTAATATCGAAACATGAAATATTTTTACTGTTGGAAATAAACAACTAGAAACAGTTAAACATGAAGATGGAAACACTGGAAGGTGGAAACACTGGAAGGTGGAAACCCTGGAGGGTGGAAACCCTGGAGGGTGGAAACACTGGAGGGTGGAAACACTGGAAGGTGGAAACACTGGAGGGTGGAAACCCTGGAGTGTGGAAACCCTGGAGGGTGGAAACACTGGAAGGTGGAAAAACTGGAAGGTGGAAACACTGGATGGTGGAAACACTGGAAGGCAGATGGAGACCTACAATAAGCTGACAGCCTTAGACTTCCCAACATCACAATATACCATCACAACAGTTGAGCTGGGCTACCTTTCATCTGTTAAATTGTGATACCCAGCGGCTCATCTAGAAGAAGGTAGAGAAGTAAAAGGAGAAGAATCAGAAGAAAAAGGGGAAGAGATGAGGGGAAAATAAAGATTTGTTAAGCTAATGGTTACACGTTAACAGTTCTGTATAATTTCTACACTTTCTTCTTCAACAGAGGCCAGATCAGCTGGAAAAGGTTGACCAGTACAAGCGGAGAGTTGCCAGGAAAAAGGTCATAATTTTTATCTTTTGTATAAATTTTGATTAAGTAGGAAAAAGGTACAAGACCCTGAGCCTGCAGTTGGTGCTTGACCCATATTTTGTAGAGACCAGCTGGCTTACAGTGGATGATGTGGTAATCATCATGCCGGCCATACATTTACCATCATCATGTGCCCTCTTGATTAATGCAGGTTGTCATACTTGCCAACCCCCATCCATTGTGCTAAAACAAAAAGTATTTATTTTTGCCTTTTTTTGCTCTTTTTTCTATTGTTCTTGCCAGTAGCAGTCAAGTTCTTGTCTGATCCTCATTACATATAAAAAAAAATCCCACAGATTTTCTATGTCTGTTTTCTGCAATCAGTTCATGGTTTTTGTCTACCTCAAGGGGAGCTGCCTCAGTCATTCCGTAACTTTTTGTTCAACACAACAATGAAACATAAAATGCGCAATGACTGACTTACCAGTTGAGTTCAGTCTGTAACAGAGAAACTACCAAAAGATGTTGAGAATAAGGGTTGCAGCACGTAAACTACAAATGAACACAAAATATGACTATGAAGCTCAACAAAAGGAAATTCACACAGATACAAATGAACATTTGGCCAAAGATTTATTCATTGATCGTTAAACGATCACTTGGATCTGTATGCATTTTCCCTTCCTTTCTTTTTAGATTTTGACCAAGCCAATTTTTATTTTCTTCTTTTCCTTTGCTGGTATCTCTGTTAGATGTTGTATTATAGTGTTTTCAATTTTGTGACTAAAATCTAGTTATCTCCAAGACTGTATGCCTCTGACATTTGCATTTAGTTATACTTCTTTGTGGACTGTTCCATTTTCAAAATGGTGAGCTGTGTTAGCATTCACTGTTGTGATTTTTCTTATGGGTCTTTGGTTCACTGTTATTTTGTACATATTTCCAATGCAGGATATATTATTTTGTATGAGAGTCTCATGTATTGTGATTGTGCAATCTCATAGCTGGATGATGACTGATAGAAATTGCTGTGTTTTGATTGCGACCGTCCAATATCTGCAGAAATCACCAGCAGGAGACTGCAACTGTGGCGAGAGCAAACTGAGTAAAGCTGTCCCCAGAAACAAAACATGTCAGTAATTTTCTTTTTGGTGGAAGTGAATCAAAACAACAGTTATCTCAATGGCCAGGCCATAATTACGTTGGTATATAACAATACAAAAAAAAAAGGTATGTAACAAGCCAAAATAAGGTATATAACAAGACAAATAAAATGCATATTCTTAGGCTTCCGTGGAGGCCATGTTAAAGACTGCAGTGCAGTCACAGCTGGATGGTGTGCGAACAGGCTTAAACCAGTTGCAAAGTGCTCTACAGGATGTGTACCAGATCAAACAAAGGTAGGTAACCTTAAACATTGATCTGTCTTGTTGGCTCCTCTTGTTATGAAGATATCTTCAGGGTTAGAATACTTATAATGTCTACTAAGAAATGTACTGGGAAGTTTAAAACAACACAATTGGCCAGTCTGATATTGGCAGATACATCATCTATGGATTGCCAGTTGTTATAAAAAACAATATGGTGCTGGCACTGTATGTCAAATTGAAAGGAAATGAAAGAGCTGACAGACTGGCCATTTTTGCAGTAGCTAGTGAAGGAGAAGTATGGACAGGGTGGATATAGTGAATACACTGCTTTCCAGAGACATTGAGACAAGGGAGTCAGAGGCGATTAACTGACTGTTGGAGATGGGTTTTAAATGAGGACAGGCACACAGAAAGTGGTTCTGGGGCAAGGAAAGAAGATATACCAGTCAACTTCTACTGGGTACAGTAAACATGCAGACATTGATGTAGCTGCTGTATCAGAGGATGGAACACGAAGGGTTGTACCGATATGCTAGGCTGTGGATACAGACGGTGATTACTATTACAGTTACTGTATGCCAGATATGCCAGCAGGTTTTGAAATGGTGTTTAACTGTAACATGTGAACTGCAGTAACGCAGTAGCTTTATTGCTCGTCTACTGAACCAAATGTCTTGGGCTCAGGTTCCCGCAAGGAAGATTTAATTAAAAACAAAAGACTTTGGTTCCCATGCTGACCCAGCCTTAAATGGGTACCAGGAAATGTCATAGGAAGCAACAGTGGTCAGCATGATGTTGACAGTGTCCTCTCTTGTTTCTTATTTGGTCAATAAACACTGACTATTAGGAGATGTTTTAACTAACTGTGACATCCAGGTTCAGAAGGACCTGCTAGTTTGTGTATAAATATTTTTGGATTTTCAGTTTGGGGTGGTGGGGGTGGGAACCTGCAGTGGTGTAGCAGCTAGACGTTTGCCTGCAGATCTTTCAGACATAACCTTAGCTCCTAGTTTGATCCAGCCTAAAATGGGTAGCAGGTAAAGTCCTGGGAAGTAAAGGCAGCCAGCATGATGTTGACCACGTTTCCTGTCGAGTGCCGGTTGGTCTATAAAATATCAGTGTAGCCCTGTATGCCCACTACACCTGAAGGCGTAGAAAAGCTGTTTCAGCTAATACTCCTGTGAATGAATTTCTATCATCTCTTCTCTTCTTCTTCTGCCTTTCTAGCCCCCAATGGAGCGTAGGCCCTCAACAAACTCATGCCAGGTCGATCTATCCTTTGCTAATGCATGCTACTACTATCATGATGCTTGTTATTGTTTTCCAGCTTGGATGAAATAGAAGAAAATTACAGAATAATTGAACCATTGCACAGTAAGCTGAAGAGTCTCAAGGAGGAAAACAGTCGGTTCTGTCAGGTAAAAGTGAATGGAAGTGACATGTGGGTATGAGTGGAAATGACAAGTGGATGTGAATGGAAGTGACATGTGGGTATGAGTGGAAATGACAAGTGGATGTGAATGGAAATGACATGTGGGTCTGAGAGGAAATGACAGGTGGATGTAAATGGCAGTGTATGGTAAATGTAAATAATGGAAGTGTCTGGTAAATGTGAATGGAAGTGATAGGTAGATATGAATAGAAGTGTAAGGCTTATTTTGAATGGAAATTAAGGTGGATGTAAATATCAGTGTAATTTTTATTGTGAATGGAAGTGATAGGTAGATGTGAATAGTGGAAGCATCAGGTAGGTATGAAAGGTAAATATGAACATAACTGATCAGTAGCTATGAATAATGGAAGTGTCAGATGTGAATAAAAGGGGTGTAAGGCAGATACAAATGGAAGAGTAAGGTAAATATTGATGGAAGTGAAAGGTAGATTGTGACTGGGAGTGTCAATTAAATGTGAATGGAAGGTGATTGATAGATGTGAATGGAAGTAACAGGTAAATGTGCATGCAAGTTACAGGTAAAGTGAATAGGGGGTGACTGGTAGAAGTGAATGATAGTAAAATGTGAATGGAAGTGACAGATAAATGTGAGTGTAAGGGACAGTTAAATGGAAATGGAAGTAACAGGTAAATTAGGAATAGAATATATGATAAAATATTATTTCACAGAAAAACCATTGTTAATATTTTCTCCACATTATTTAAATAATTTAATAAGGTGCCTTCTCCATTTTGCATTTTGAATGGAATTGACATTTAACAGTCTCTATCCTAGTTGCATATATGACAGATTGCTGTTCGTCCATGACTCATTGTTACCATCCCACTTATATCACTTTTTTCCCATTACTATTTTTAGTGGCTAATTCAACTGCTAGAAACGTATAAGTTACATTTCTTTTACGTTGTAAGCAAGTGAGTCTTTGAATTCGAGGATTTAAGGCTACATGGCTAGTGCAGCCACCACTGGCTGTGCAGATTAAGATTTTTAAACCCCACAGAAAAAATCCATGACCTCACAGAGGATTTGAATCAGGGTTTCCTGCATGAAAGCCGAGCATTGTAAACTGTTTCACTTCTGCATAACTATTCAAATGTCAGAGAAATAAAATAACCACACACGAGCACACTTGCTCACTAGCTGTCTTCCCCGTCTGGGTTCTGGGGCCCCAATATGGGGAAAAAAAGAAAAGACCACTGTCTCACCAAGCATGTCATAAGAGACAACTAATTGGGGGTTTCCTTCAAAATCAGATTGCATCTGCCTGAGGGGTAAGGAACCATCAATCTGTGTGCAGATAAATCAGATCTGTAAAGCTGATGTGCATGCAACTCTTGGCTTCTGGAACAAGTCTAAAGTCCAGAGGTGAGTGAACAACCAGAACTTTCCGCTGGAGTTTACAGCCGGTGAAGAAGAAGACAAAGAAGAAAGAAGACTAGCTCCTTTTCACCCACACACCAAGACTTGGTTCTGCCTATCGCTGGGTTGTAAAAAAATGTGTTACGTTTGTTGTCAAGTATTCCTGGTTCCATTCCATTTGTTTCTTAAATAAGACTTTAGACAAAATATTTGGTTTTGCATTCTCATTAAATAATAGATGAGTGAGGTTTGAGTCAAGAACTGACATCACATCATTCGGGTCATTTTATTAAGCACTCTGTTCTTATCTTCAGCAGCCAGCACAGAGTTCCAGTTCTGATGGTACCAGTTTTATTAAGAAATGTAAAGGACAAACACTGTTTTTTTTGGGCCACATAATTATAAGAGAGATATTGAAGAACATTGTGACAACTGGAAAGATCAGTGGGAAAAGGGGTAGAGGTTCAACCAGAGAGATGATGCTGGATAGGCTAAAACGATGACATAGAGGGATATCATCAAGAGAGCTGTTCCAGGCAAGCAGTGATTGTGAACTGTGGAGATGCATGAGTGCCTACGCCAATTGGCAGGGCACATGATGATAATGAAATGCCTGTCACATTGAAAATGTTGATCAAGAACTTTTATATTAGCATCTGTATCTTTGAGAGATAAATTTGTGGTGACATCACTGTTTCTTACCACTACTTTCCAGCTGTCAGCTGCCCAAGAAAATCTCAGGCATATTTTCACAGTTCCAGAGAGTGTGTCCAAAACCAGAGAACTCATCATGGAGGGCAAACTTTTACAGGCACATAAACAGTAAGTGCTTTCTGGCCATTTGGGGAAGTAATTAAATTACGGCTGATTTTGAAAGCTCTGTGGCTAAATATGGTCACCTCCAGGTATGTTCGTCTTCAAGTATAGTCATCTCCAAGTGTGGTCATCTCCAAACATGGTCATCTCCAAGTATGGTCATCTTCAAGTGTACTCTTTATACATTGTGGTAGGTTTTATAGGAAATCTCCAAATATTGCCGTCTCCAAGTATGGTCATCTTCAAGTATAGTAATCTCCAAGTATGGTCATCTCCAAGTATGGTCATCTCCAAGTTTAATCAGCCACCACCCCTCCTCTGGCACCCCTTCCCTTTTGTTTCCAAACAAAAAGTACCAAAAGTAACACTCTAGTATATATTAAAACAAACAATTATTAAACAGGTTATGTTGGTACAGCAATCCTGAAGCAGTTGCACTATGATCAGAAATGCCTTCTTGAGATTAGAACAACAATTTATGTGGCAAAAGTAACCTATTGCAGAGGAAAAACAAACTCGCCAATGAAAAGCTGTCTATATAGAGTCTGTACTGTTATATGCTTGTGAAACATGGACAACAAACTGAAAGCAAGAGAAACATCTCATGGCAGTAGACATGCGATTTTTGAAAAATCTGTAAAGCCTAAGGCTAGATCTTGGTTGGCAGTGTGAGTGAATGAATGAATGAATGAATGAATGAATGAATGAAACACGAATTGACATCCCTGCACTTGAGACATTCCAACACATGCTCTGTCTTCTTGCTCAGTAGCCAAGTGAAGAGAGTGTCCATGCTCAGAGTGCGAGCTGCAACCTGATTAAAGATCTGCCAGTGTTTTTTCCTCAGTGCTGAATGTCGTCCTGAATCTCTGCTCACCCCTGCTGAATCAGTCTTTTTAGGAATGGATACTCTCTCTGTTTCTGTTGCACTGTCTACTTGATCCCAGAGAGCTTTCACCACGTCTACTTTATCATAAAATAGCTCACCTTTTAGAGGTGGGGGGCAGCAGCCATTCTATCGGCATGCTCATAACTGCACATTTGAGTATCATGGGCAGAAAATCCATGATATCCTCTTGATCTGAGTCTTGTCAAGTATGTAAGCCACTTTATACCTAGGTCACCAGTTTCTGTTTTATGAAGCATCGTCTTTGAGTTTATTATAATTACATCTCAGGCTGTACTGTTCTAAGGCCACCAGAAAGCTGCTGTTATTGTCTACCTCCACCTCCATTCTTATTCTGGATGTTGTGATGTTATATGTGAGATTGTCTAGTCGTCCACCTTGGAACAAAACTCCACTCACTCTTTGGTTGACAATGTTTCTTTCACTAGGAGTTTTTATTTTTTTTATTTCCTTGTCAGAAGACTTAAACCTGACACCCATGGGAAAGAAGGAGGTATATGTTTATTTGTGTATGTCTTTGTTGTCAGTTTGAGCGACTTGGAAGTGTCCAGGGATGATTTATTGCTCGCCTTGCACAGACAACCAAATCAGAGCCCCACAGACAAAAATGTAAGTAGCGCTTTGTCTGTTGGAACTGCTAGATTTCTGTCAGTGAGTATTTCTTGTTGTATTTCTATTTGTATGCTTCAGTAATGTGTGTTCTAGTGTTTGTTGTCAATAGTTGTAGGCGATATCTTTAGTTACAGATCTCTGTCTGCATGGAAGTACCATGTATGCCTTTATCTGTCAATTATTGTCTTTACAGATAAATAATGTTAGAATTATATATTCCCTGTTGTTATACTCTCATATAATTTAGTTTAATGCTGCCCGGTTATAAGTTCCCAAATGTTACGCTGCCTAGTTTTGTACTTATTAGTGTTATTGTCAGACAGTGAACCATGACCACCCGTAGTATCAGGATGCCACTTGTTGGTGATTAAGACAGTCTTACCTGTACATCTGATCCTTTTCTTTTATAGATAAATGATAAATAGTCATACTGTACACATTACACATGGAAGATGAAGACTGTGTACAGTAAAAAATGTACATTTGTTGGAGACTAAATTGAGCCTAAAGAAAAATGCACAATAATTCTCAGCTTCATTCATGTTCAGTGATTACTCCCATTTATTTATTTGATTGAAAACATTAAAAAAAATTTATATTAACAAATTGTAATATGTGTGTATGTGCGGGAAAGCTGTGTTTTTTCAGCATTTAAAAAAAAAAGGGCTCTGCTGATTTTTCTCCAAAAGTGGGCCAGTCTGAGCTTTTTTCTCCAAAAGGTTAAAAGTGGGGGGGGGGGGGGGGGGGGGGGGGGGGGGAGGGACCAGTCACATCCTGCATAACGTGAAAGGTTGGGGGGGGGGGGGAGGGGGCGAGACCAGACTGAAAAAAAAAAGTTAACGTGAAAGGTTGGGTGGGGGGGGGGGGGGGGGGGGGGGGGAGGGGGGCGGGCGGGAGCGGGGGGGAGACAGGGGACCTGAAAAAGTAACGTGATTTGGGTGGAGTTTAAAAACAAATGCGTGTCCAGGCTTGCTGTTGTTAGTAAATAAAATAAAGGATCCGTGTCTACACATTGAGGTCTGTTGAGGAGATGGGGCTCGAAACTTATTTTGATGAATCAGTTGCACTTAGTGGGTAGTGTAATCAGTGCACACTGGAAGAGAGATCTAGAACAGGCCGTTCTGTGTTCACTTCATGTACCTAGAACATTTCCTACTACTCTGTTTAAAGTTGAGTTGACCTAAAAACCTAAATAAGTTTCAAAACTCTGCCTCAGTGTGGATTCAGACACCTGACAGTTGAGTGGTAGACCAGGGTTCTAGTCACTGGACTCTCATGGCTTCCAATATTTTTAACTAAAACTATTTAATTAAAAAAAAAAAACTATAATTCAGAATAGATTCAGTCATTGAAACCCATGTTGTTTTTAAAACTCTGCCTGAGTGGAAATTCAAATGTGACAATTAAGTGGTAGGCCAGGTTTCTAGTCACTATTCTAAGCAATGACCAATAAAAAAAATAAACCTAGCAAAACAGAGGAATTCAGAGGGGATTCAGCTATTGAAATACGAGTCAGTTTTACAAATCTGCTTCAATGGAGATCAGATATATGACAATTGAGTCGTAGGCCAGAGTTCTAGTCACTGAACTATCATGACTTCGACTGTTATAAGCTCAGACCAAAAATTTTTTTTTTTTTTCAAATTGAGAAAGGGACACATTTAGATGTCTCAGTGACAAAGGGGTTTTTATAGGGACTACAGTTAGAAGCTAAATCTTCTTCATATTTCTTCTTTTCTCGACTCCTGGAATGCCTCATGGCAAAATGGCAGGAAAAGAAATCTAGAACAGGCCATTCTGTTCACTTCATGTAAAGTATTTATCAATGTCTGTGATATTTCTATGGTCCATTTCTGCATGGTCGACCTCTGTATCTGTTACCATTGTATTTAATTCTAGTCTGTTTATGAGATCTCTTTATTTTCTACAAGCAGTAAGTAAGCCACTGTCGGTGCTGGACCAGTTATAGGATTTTCAAACATCCTAAAATTTCCCACTTGAGCTAGCCTGTCACATTCAGAGTAGTTAAACACAATTTCCACTCTAGGATGTCCGAAACTGATCCACGTTAGATGCTGACCGAAAAATAAACATCCCCCTGCCTCGCCATCTTGACCTGGAATCTGAATAATGTATGTATTGTTCTCAATTCGCCGTGGTCTAGCAGCTAGACACTCGCCTGCGGGACAGAAGGTTGTGGGTTCAGGTCCTGATGGGGGCTGGACTTTTTTCCAACAATAACCTTGGCTTCCAGGTCGACCCAGCCTTGAGGGGGTACCAGGTACAGTCCTGGGAAGTAAAGGCGGCTGACTTGGTGCTGACCACATCACCAACCAAGTGCCGTTTGGTCTATAAAATATAGGTCTAGCCCTATATACCCAGTACACCTGAAGGCATGGAAAAGGTGTCCTTTGATTTACTTTATTGCTCTCTGCTGATCTGGGTACATATGGTGAGCTTGTCTTGTATTTTCTGTGGTCTTCTAGACTCTGACCCACTACTTCTCTGAAGTGGAGACCCTGTCCAAGGATCTGGGCAAGCAGCTGTGGGTGATCATACAGAGGACCTTGTTGTCTGTCAGAAGAGAGCCCACCATGATCTGTACCGCTCTTCGTATTATAGAGAGGGAGGAGAGGTAGGTGTCGTAATATCAGTATTGCTCTCTCTTTTTTCAACATTTTGTAGTGTAGAGCTATCCAACTATATAAAATTAATTTGTTGGGACTTTAAAAAGAAGTTTTTGGCCCAACCCTTAAAAATAAAGGGGGAAATTATTGGAAAAAATTTTTAAACCGGGGAAAAAAACCATTTGGAATTTCCCAAAAAAGGGGAAAAAAAAAAAGTTTTCAAAAAAAAAATTCCCTTTTTTTTCTTTTTTTAATTAAAGGGCTTTTTTCCCAAATTAAAAAAATTAAATCTTTCCCCCAGAAAAAAAGGCCCCAGGGGATGTGTTATGTCATTTTCTCCTTTTAAACCCTTGTGTTTGATTGGTTTAATAAAGAACACAGTAGACAAAACATTGGGAGGCATACGAGGGACTCCATTCCCATGCTTGGGCCCTTTGTTTTTGGCAGATGATATAGAAACCCTTTCACATAAACATGAACAATACAAAAAAAAAAGTAACAGACAAACAACCCCCAAGAAAAAAATGGGGGGGTTTTTGAGAATAAAACAAAAAAAAACTAGATAGGGCAAGCAGTCCAAACAAAAACCCAGTGACCATAAAAAAAACCAAACTCAAAAAAAATGTAGAAAAATTTCACAATCTTGGCAGTGGGGTTTGTATCCCGGGGGGGCCCAAGGGGCCCAATCCCGTCAGGGTTTTTAAAACAAAGCAAAGAGCTGCTTTGGAAGGATTAGGTTTAATTGGAAATCCAACATTTACCCCAGAGGAACGAAACCCCGACTCAAACAAGAGCATCATTTTGCCAGTTCTTTTTTATGGGGGGGAAAAGCTGGAAAAAATGCCCAAAAAAAAAAGGATGAACAACTGTCCCCTTTCCACCAAACAGTCTCCCGAGAATTATAAAAATTTTTTGGCCAGTTTTACAATCAAAAAACACAAAAATTTAATTTGTCAAAAAACCAAAAAAACAAGACAAATGAAAAACCCAAGAGAAGGGAAAGGTTTGGGCCACTTTATGGAATGAAACCTTTTTATACCCCCAAAAAAAACCTAAATGGACCCCCAGAGGGAAAAGAAAAACAGGGGCCCCAAAAAAAACCCCCAAAATTTTGGGGGGGGGGGGGGGAAAACTAGGGAAAAGTAAACCTGGGTGCGGAAATCAAAAGGGGGAAAAAAACTGATTGAAGATTGCACAGGCCGGGAAAAAGCAGGGAAAAGGGCCTCTCGGGAACCCCTCAGGCCACTAGGCAAAACCCGGGAATGAGTTTATGACATAAAAAAAAGGGTTTTATTCATATTGGATTTCTTTATTAGAAATAAAAACCAGGAAATTTATGTTGTTCTTCTTTTTTTGGGGAATGGAAATAACTTTTATAATATTTTTGAAATTAATATTGAAAAAAATTTTTAATTGGGGAACTTTGTTATTGAAAATGTTTTTTTTTGTTTTTAAAGAAAACATTAACTTTGTTTTTTATTTTTTTTCCAGGTTTTTAAAAGGAATGAAACCCGGGAATTTTTTAAACTATTGATTTTTAAAAAAATAATTAAATACATTAGATTTTTTCCCAAAGTTCGTTAGGAGAATAGGATATTTCTATTGTGTTTTATAGATGCAACACTAGGAATGTACACCTGTATTTCTCTCTTTTGTTATAAAACTATTTTATACCAGCTTTATATTTCATCACCTTCTCTAACAGCTGCTTGTTGTTCATAATACAATGTTTCAATAAAAAAACATACCATTTAGCTTCATAAAAATTATGTGAATGCTTTAATCTGTCTGTTTCATACCCAAACAGAATGGATTCAGCCTGGTCAAGAAAATATGACCAGACAGGATTTTTACCGCCTGGAAGACCAAAGAAATGGCGGGAGAGGTGCTTTGAGGTTCTGCAGAATTCTATTGCTGGTCGGTGAGTAACATGTAATAGGATGTGCTTGGTCTATGCAACATAGTATTTCTGGCATATAAGTAAAGTTACAAATATAAGGCTTTTTTTATACCATTGATGCATTAGGGAGTCAACATGGTGTAGCAGCTAGATACTCCCCTGTGGATATGAAGGTCTAGGGTTTAGGTCCTGACGGAAACGGGATTTTCTTCAGAAAAGAACCTTGACTCCCAGGTCAACCCCACAGCCTTGAGAGGGTACCAGGTACTGTCCTGGGAAGTAAAGGTGGCCGGCATGTATGTTGACCACATTGCCCCAACAAGTGCCGATTAGTCTATAAAATATATGTCTAGCCTTAAATGCCCAATACGTCTGAAGGTGTGGAAAAAGTGTTGCATTGGTTTCAGCAGTGGTATCTAGAGCCTTAGCCAGCTGTTAAGAAAGCAGTCACAAACTGCTGCATGTTGAATGTTAAATCCAGAATTGACATCACAGCACTCGGGACACCTTCATAAGTATGTAAAATTACCTAGAGAAATCACAAACAGCTACAAAAAATGCTGTGGTTGGTTCTACATCATCCTGTAAAGGATGCACAACTTAAAAAACAAACAAGAAATACAATATTTCAGCTTAGTTAACAACAACCCATAAACACCCCATTTCCTAGCTTTCAAACATATTAGGTATATCGTATAGAAGCCCTGGTTGAGTTGAGGCTAGATGCTGGCCTCAAGATTTTGGGTTAGAATCCAGTTGATGCAATTTCTTTTTGAAATTGGTCTTCCTACAGGCTGACCCTGCCTAAAATGAACCTGCATAAAATGGACGCCTGGTAATGTCCGCTGAATGGTGACACCTGGCGCGATATTGACCACATCAACCTCCAAGTGTTGAGTTGTCCATAAAATAGGATTCTGGCATTATATGCCTGATTTCAGTGTTGTGCAAAGCTGTATAAAGTTGTGTAAAGTGCCCAAGAGGGGAGAAACAAATATACATAGTGCTAGCACCACATGTAGTAGATCAGTCTTTACTTGTTTACGGATGTGGTTAATATCAGCATTTCTGATACATTATTATTTCAGGTTTAAGAATACTAGTTCACACTGTCCAGAAATACTAAAATACTATTTCTGTGTAAACTAGTATTTCTGTTAACATAGTATTCTGGTTTGTGTAATTGTTTAGTATCACACAGCTGTGGCCAAAAGTTTATTTAGTTAGTTAGTTAGTTAGTTGGGTTATCATCATTGCACTCCGGACATGTCCATAGGTGCTCAGATCCTCCCCTCAGTATGAACCCCAACGTCCGATGGCTAATAGTACCAGTTCTATGTTGATTAACAAGTCTTCTGGCGTAGCTGGTGTGCGTCTCGTTTTTTGCTGTGCCGATCTTAATTCCCAAGTCTGCCATTCTGGCGAGTGATGTGGATTCACTGCCACCAAAGTCCTCTATCCTTCCCATTTCTCTGAGGGCACTGATAATATCAGCGTGATCCATAGGCTGACCGTCGGTAGTGATAGCTGATCCAGCCAACTTGTCAGCTCTTTCATTTCCATCGACGCCTGCGTGTCCCGGAACAAAAATAAAGGTGACGCCACGCACAGTGGACTTCTGCAATGATTCAAGCCATTGTCTTCGCACTGAACCTGCCTGAACCCTCCGAATCATACTCATTGAATCGTTGAGTATACATACGCGGGTGTATTATTGTGTTTCAAGCCAGGCAAACGCTTGCGTCACTGCCATCACCTCCATCGTCATGCTGCCAAAAGTTTAAGACCACCTAGTAAATAATTGATATTTTCACATTATTGTGAACTATTTGCGTTGACCGCTTTGGGGGGGGGGGGGGGTGGGGGCAGAATGATGACTGCAATGATTACCTTTAGTGGTCTCTAAAATTGCAGTGGGTGCATTGCTCTGTAACAATATGGAATAGTCAATTTTTGTAATTGGTGGACGTATAGCTGTGACCACCACTGTAGTACTGTTGTTTGCTTATGATAATAAAATCAAGACAGTTTTGTCAGTTAACAGATTCATTGTGTATTTGTGGAGTTAACATTGGTGTTGAGATGTGTTTTTTATTTGTGAAGTTAACTTTGGTGGAAAGATTTGTTGTGTGTCTGTAAAGTAACATAAGTGGAAAGATTTGTTGTGTGTCTGATGTCTTACTGACATTTCATCTTCCAGCATTGAAGGCAGCCAGCTTGAGACCAGAGACCAGAACAAAATGTGGCTAGTCAGACATCTTGAAATCACCCGACAACTGATGATAGATGACCTGAAAGTTGTCAAGGTATTGCATTTGTGCTGTCGTCATGTAGCAGGTTCTTTGGAAAATGCCACTGTCTCATCTTGGCATATGGAAAGCCACTCATGTTCTTTGGTGGACATCACTTTCATGACATGTGGCAAGTCACACATGGTACATAGAAAGCCACTCGGCCCCCTCCCAACTTTCCTGCCTGGTGAACTTAATCTTGTTCTTGATATCCTGTGTCCACTATCATGCTGTCCCTGTTTAGCTTATATTATAATCTTTCAACTTGTGATGCGGGGGGGGGGGGGGGGGGGGGCTATGGTACGGTGGTTAAATGTTGAGGTTTTATGTGTAGCGCAGCTCTCTTCTTCGTTGCGTATGTCGTTGTCACACCCAGGTTCGTCTTTAGGTTTGCTAGGAGGAAGATTGGAAGATTATAGACGAGGAGAAAGATGGTCGTGTCGATAGTGGTTATGATGATGATGTCTTGCTAGCTGGATGCTTCTTACGTGCCTCTGATGCTTGTATAATAAAATGGCTGGAAACAACTGTTCTTGACTATACTGTCTTTATTGTGATACTTTACCAATGTCACAAAATAACATCAATGATTTTCTGAAAGTTGCTGTGTTTTCTCTATGGCTAAATACTCTTGAGGTTCACGTTGTGTTCTTTCTCCCTATGGTTGCATACACTTAATGTTGCGTTGTGTTCTCTAGCTGCTTTGGTTCTAGTGTCTGTAACTGCCACCTGGCTTCTAGTGCTGTCTGGTACCAACGGATTGATCGTCGACTTTAACATCTCAATAGTGTTCCTACCTAAAGTGTCACTGTTAACCATGGATCCAGGTATCGTGTGTGTTGTCTGTGTAGTTCGATATCTTGTTTCATGTCTGCTCTGTCTTCGAGGCTAAATATAACTGGCTCCTCTCCCTCTAGGGTTGAGTTGGCATCTCCAAAACTGCGAGGATCATTGAGACTAGTCGCTTGTCCTCTGAGTCTCAACCACTGAAGACATTCTTTGAGTTAAGCTGACATCTCTACAATTGAAGACTGCTTTGAGAGTCCATGTGACTGGTCTTTCCTCTCTTGAGTCTTGTGGACTGAAGAATTCTCCTGAGTGGATTCTTACCCAGTATTTATACTTGGATGCTGGAATGCTAGTTATTTGTTTTCTTCTCACTTTTCCTGCTTCTAGAATATTCTAGTACGTCCAAACTTGTTTACTATGTACGTTCTCACGTGGGATTTTCTAAAAATTTCTCGATTGCATCGGATTTCAACATCCTATTCTACGCAGATATAGTAGTCAAATTGACAGCTGACGTCAATAGAAGCTTCTAGAAAACAAGTATAATTTGCTTTGATAGGGCACACAACAACAGGGTATTTACTAGTAAGACAAGGTTGGGTCACATGATGAAACAAATGCATTTCAAAACTTCTATAAAGAAGGCCAAGGCCAGACAACATCAGTTTGATGTCAACAGCAAGCTTTGGCGGGAAAAGAAGATTCTGGAAAAGGGAATGTCAAATTTACCAAAACTTGTTGATTTTCAGTACATCATAACTTCGTGCCTTCTAACAAACAAGGGATAATGTCTCCCTGTTACAACGTTCAAATCTTTATCGAGCCAGATTTTTAAATAAAATCTGGCTCGATAAAGATTTGAACGTAAAACCTCAACATTTAACCACCGTACCATAGCACCCCGCATCACAAGTTTTATTCAAAACCGACCTTGGCTTCTCAGTTGACCCAGCCTAAAATGGGTGCAAGGAAAGTCCTGGGAGGCAAAGGTGGCTGACATGATGTTGACATCACCCACAAAGTGCTGATTGGTCTATAAAATATAGGTCAAGCATTAAATGCCCAATACGCCTAATGGCATAAAAAAGGTCCTTTTACCTGTAGATGCAGTCTATTCACATTAACCCAGAAAACATCAATGTATCCAACATCCTAATCTGGACAACTGAAATAAGGGAACAAAATGTATATATGATATTCAGACCAAGAATACAGAGGAAGTACATTAGCTACAGGTAGACCTTCAAATACTTGGAGACTCCTACTGGAACGATAAGGCCAGAAACACAGTTTAATGGAGGCAGGTGAAATTTGCATCAATGAACCTCAAGGGTTTAGAATGTTGAAAGGGAATAAGTAAGAGAAGATTATAGTTTAATCACCCTTTGGGAAAATGGGGGGAGGGGTTAGAATTTACGAATTATATAAGTGCTTTGAATCTTCTGACACAGATCGTCACTCAGTATTATTTTGTAATATTTTTTGTCACAGTCGATTCCTGGATTCCATTCTGTCCTGTGCAGTTTTTCTTTATTATGTACTGAGTCTAGTCTTGAAGCTCACGTCTTTCACCCTTGTCAGTTCGAAAGGGGTGGAGCTATACTATCCTTTTCTTATTTTTAAAATCAATCCAGCTTATAATGTTAATTAAACTAAATATGCATAGTCCAGAGACTGTCGTTGCGTCACAGCTTTAAGCGAGAATTAACGAGTGACTTAGCTTTCTGGCAAGGCCTCGGTAGATACAGGAAAAGCAGTCACCAGGCTGACATTCTCAGTGCTATCAAGGATGAAGGACCAGAAGATAATTCCGGAGATGACGATGAGTCAAACTACAAGAATTTCAGGTTAAAAGAGTTGTCACCAGACATGAACACTAAACAGGTAGTCAAAGAAGAATAGTAAACCAACACAGAACTGATGTTATCACATCAGTTGCCATATGGTGGGGGATATACTGAAAATGGGATCTGAACGCTTATAGACTTGTTGATGTTCACTGAGGATAATCTTTTGATCAACTAACTTAACTAACTACACCACCTGGCAGGAACACATAGATTGACTCAGCCTAAAATAAGTAACAGAAAATGTCCTGAGAAGTAAAGGCATCCCTGGTGATCTTGACTAGATCGTCCATCAGTTGCTGATTGGTCTGTAAGAAATAAGGGTCAAGCACTATATGCTTGAAATGCTACTGCTTTCACTTGACACCATCTCACATTCTTAAAGAGTTTTTTCTTCTTCATTTTATCAGCTGTAAACTTTGGTGGAAGGTTCTGGTTGTTCATACTCTTCTGGACTTTAGTCTTGTTCCAGAATCAGAAGTTTCTGTGCTCAGTCATTTTACAGATCTGACTTATTTTTATGCAGACTGTTGGTTCCTCGCCCCTCTGACAGATGCCCTCCAACTTCGAAGGAAACTTCCTTAATTAGTCACCTCTTATGACGTGCTTGTTAGGGGTTTGGGTGGTAATGGTTCTAATCCTTGATTCCCCACAAAAGAGCCCCGGAACCACATGGGAAGTAACAGATTTTAAAATGATATAGTAAGCATATATTATATATTTGATTATCTGAAACATGTTAATAAAACTGTCTTTGCAGACACTGCTGCCTCCAGTGTTCCCCCCAGATTATGACGTGGTGAGAAGGTACACAAAAATGTACCACAGAGCTCTCTCTGCTCACGTATGTACAGTTTTTATTTTATCTTGAGAGTTATTCCTGTCTGAGTTAAACTATACTTCTAAGCTCTTGCTACTTTACTAACTTATATAAGTTTTATGAAATAAATGAAATTAGATGTATAACAGAGTTTTAAGGTTCCCTACCTGGCAATAGTATAACACTGGACTCTCTTTATTAACTTGTATAAAGTGTTATCAGATCAAGAAAATTTGATATTTCTGAGTTTATTCAAGAAGTTTCAGCTCAGATTGAACTATGTATGCTATGTAACATTGTATCTAATCAAAAAAATATGTTTACAAGTTTACAGTAAGTTCAGTTCCTAAGAAATGAATGAATGAATGAATCAGGAGCTGACATTGTTGTACTCAGGACATACCCACACATGCTTAGTAGCCATTTATGTCACCATACTGATGGTACCAGGGAAAACTGTATTGAAAGTTCACCTGTTTTTGTCCCCCTGCAGGTAGAAGTTCATCCAGACCTTCTGTTCACCCCCCCCCCCCCACCCCCTTTCTCCCCCCAGCTGAATCATTCTCTCCTGATATGGATGCCCTGTCTGTTCTGTTGCACTGTTTACTAAATCCCAGAGAACCTTCACCACATCTGCTTTATCATAATGCAGGTCATCGCCCAGTGGGGCTTCAGCTGTCAGTTTATCAGCCTGCTTATTACCATGCTCACGTGTATATTCTAGACGGAAGATCCATCACATGCTTCTGATTTCTGTTTTACCAGGCAATGCAAGCTATTCAGATAACACAACACCAGTTTTTATTTTCTGTAGCAAATTATGGAAACTCATGAAAAAATTTTTTTATACAACTATTAGAGAAAGAAGATTTTTCATTTATAAATATTTATTTATTTATTTAATTTTTACACTTCCCACTCCTTTTTCTGCTCATTCAAATATTTTCATTTTGTAATAGCTCCTCCTGTTCATATTTTCTCCTGTTACAGATTCCCAGTTCCATTCTTACCTTTTTGGTTGTTTAATTAGTTTATTGTTTTGTCTGTCGAAAAAGGCAGGTCGAAACATTCAGTGGTATTTATGCACATGTCCTTTCCCTGTAGTGACATCAGTTGTTAGTCAAGGTTCCAAAGCCACTACAGATGGACTGCCACATACGTGCTCCATTCCTGTGCCAGTGGAAATCACACAAAATATCTTTCACTGTTCCTGTTTGAAAACTGGTGAAAACAACTTGTCTGTTGCAGCAACATTCTAAAACCTGCACTCGCAAAGCTGCGATCCCGATGAGCTTTCTAGTCATTGTTTGACTGCATTGAGTTATTCTTCTTTTTCTCTTCCACCTCATTGAAGTTTTGGGGGAGATTTAAGGATCATTTGTGCACTTTTTCCAATGCATTGAACAAGTTGGTGTTCATTTCTGTTAGGTTGCTCCTGATGATGTCGCTCCATATCTTGCGTGGTCTTCCACTTGCTCTGTGTTCATTATATTTCTTCAGTTTAGTTATTTCAAAAATTAAATAATATGAAGAGCCCATGTCAGAATACCAGTAAACTGTTCAGAGTAAAAGCTTGAATGCACACATCTTTCCTGTGACAACAGCAAATGTGAGTCTCGGACTGTTTCACATTTCTCTCCACAAAGAAAGAAAATTATGTGTTTTTGACCAAGTTGCTCAAATGTAACCAACATCATGTTTGTCAACTTTTATAGCATATGCCTGATTAGCAAGATATACAGATATAATGAGAACTACTTGTAAAACAAATTCAATCGGTCAGAGGCTTCTTTTACTCATCTCTCAGCCTCTTGTTAATTCCTCTCTTGATTTTATCCTCCCACATGTATTGCTGACTGCCTCTTGTTCACTTGCCATCACCTTTTCACTCCAGTTTGGTTTTTATAAGAATGTTGTGTATTTTAATACAGCCAAAATAATTGACTTTTCTTTTTTATCTTCTTTAGTATCTCTGTTTTAACTTTTGGTCTCTTCAGAGACTTGGTGTTTGATTATTTTTTTCTCTCCATGAAATAGGACCTATTCTTTTGTATATCCACATCTCCAGAGACTCAATTGGATTTTCTAGTTGATTGTTCATTGTCCAGGTTTCTGCTCCATACAATGGGGTTTAGTATTGCTAACATCTTTTTGACTTCTTTTTCACTTCTGCCATTATCTGTTATTGTAGGTTTGAGATTAATGGAACTTGTAACTTGCTCATAAATGGTGACTCCAAAGCACTATTAGAACTAACCAGATTGAAAATAATGGTAACGTTATCATTAAATATAGATGTAGTAAACAGGTTAACAATTCTGTAAACATGTTAACAATTCTAATTATACATTAAACCTATCTGGTTTATATTTCAGTTGCAGGAACTGATAGACCAGAAACTTGAAGGAAATGAAATTGTATCATTGCTGCAGTGGATTGGTGCTTACGAGTAGGTTTGATTGGTTGTGTTGTCTCCACTGCACACACTTGTCATGTTTATAACAGACTTAGAAAATATGTTGAGAAAAGTAGAGACATGTGTACTCTGTGCAGAGTGGCAAGCATTGTTTTTGAGGTCTTGGGCAGTTAATATCTTTTGGATATTTTCTCCATGGCATGCAGATATGGTGGGAAGCGAACAGGCAGACACATTGGCTGGTTCTGCACCACTTAGTGGTTAATTAATGCATGACAAGCTCCTTTGGAAGCTAGTGAATTACACAGAGACATAAGAAAGTCATCAGGGTCTCAAGAGAATGATTCAGCTGGGAGTGACCAGGCGATTTGGCTGACATTCTTTTTTTCTTTTTCTTCTTCTTCTTCTTCTTCTTCTTCTTCTTCTTCTTCTTCTTCTTCTTCTTCTTCTTCTTCTTCTTTTTTCTTCCTTCTTCTTCTTCTTCTTCTTCTTCTTCTTCTTCTTCTTCTTCTTCTTCTTCTTCTTCTTCTTCTTCTTCTTCTTTGTTTTCATCGGCTGTAAACTCCGGCAGAAGACTTTAGACTTGTTCCAGAACCTGGTTGTTGCGTGCACATCCAGTTTAAAGATCTGATTTATTTGTATGCGGACTGTTAGTTTCTTTCCTATTAGACAGATGCACTATGACTTCGAAGGATGCCCCCAATTAGTCGGCTCTTGGATATGCTTGTTGGGGAGGCAGGAGGTCTGTTCTTGTTTTCCCCATGATGGGGCCCCAGAACCCACATAGGAAGGCTACCATTCAACATTCAGGAGAAAGGCAAGATGGACATTCGATCAGACTGCAGCTAGTACCACTGGAGTTGGAACTCTGCTGCTGATTGGGATGGAGTATTTATGGTTCCTAGCTCTACTGATTTGGTGTATCCACTTTTTTTGTTTATTACACTTNCTTTTCCAGAGACTTAATGTTTGATTACTTTTGTTTTCATGAAATAAGAACTATTCTTCTGAAATTTACATTCCCCAGAACCAAGACGATTTTTGTTACTTTTTTTTTTAAAAAATTGACCTATTCTTCGTTATCTACTTTCCGAGACGGGTTTGATTATTTTTGTTTCCATGAAATAGATCATTTTTGTTATCCAATCTCCAGAGACTGATTTTTGTTTACTTTTGTTTCCATGAAAATGTCTATTTCTCTGTAATCACATCCCAAAAGATAATTTTGATTACTTTTTTTTCGAAATATGATTTAATTTTCGGGGGTACCACATTTCCAGGATTGTTTTTGATTATTTTTTTTTTCATGAAAATGACCTATTCATCTCTATTCCCATCTCCAGAGACTCAATTTTTTTGAACTTTTTTTCTATGAAATGGGACTATTTTTCTGTATATCCACTTCCCAGAGACTCGATGTTTGATTATTTTTTGTTTTCAGAAATGATCCTTGGTGTTTGATTACTTTTGTCTATGAAATATGACCTGTTTTTCAGTATATCCACATTTCCAAAGACTCAATTGGATTTTCTAGTTGATTGTTCATTGTCCAGGTTTCTGCTCCATACAATGGGGTTTATATTGCTAACATCTTTTTCACTTCTGCCATCATCTGTTTTTGTATGTTCAAGACTGATGAAACTTGTAACTTGCTCATAAATAGTTACTCCAAGCATTATTAGAACTAACCAGATTGAATATAATGGTAACTTTATCATTAAATATAGATGTAATAAACAGGTTAACAATTCTGTAAACATGTTAACAATTCTAATTATACATTTTACCTATCTGGTTTATATTTCAGTTGCAGGAACTGATAGACCAAAAACTTGAAGGAAATGAAATTGTATCATTGCTGCAGTGGATTGGTGCTTACGAGTAAGTTTGATTAGTTGTGTCTCCACTGCACACACTTGTCATGACTGAAACAGAATTAGAAAGCATGTTGAGAAAGGTAGAGACGTGTACTCTGTGCAGAGTGGCAAGCATTGTTTTAGAGATCTTGGGCAGTTAGTATCTTTTGGATATTTTCTCCAGGGTATGCAGATATGTTGGGAAGCGAACAGGCAGACACATTGGCTGGTTCTGCACCACTTAGTGGTTAATTAATGCATGACAAGCTCCTTTGGAAGCTAGTGAATAATACAGAAACATAAGAAAATCATCAGAGTCTCAAGAGAATGATTCAGCTGGGAGTGACCAGGCAATTTGGCTGACATTCTTTTTTTCTTTTTCTTTTTCTTCTTCTTTTTCTTCTTCTTCTTCTTCTTCTTCTTCTTCTTCTTCTTCTTCTTCTTCTTCTTCTTCTTCTTCTTCTTCTTCTTCTTCTTCTTCATGTTTATTGGCTGTAAACTCCGGCAGAAAGTTCTGGCTATTCCAATTTACAGATCTGATTTATTTGTATGCGGACTGTTGGTTCCTTGCCTCTTAGGCAGATGCACTATGACTTCGAAGGATGCCCCCAATTAGTCGACTCCTGGATATGCTTGTTGGGGAGGCAGGAGGTCTGTTCTTGTTTTCCCCGTGATGGGGCCCCAGAACCCACATAGGAAGGCTACCATTCAACATTCAGGAGAAAGGCAAGATGGACATTCGATCAGACTGCAGCTAGTACCACTGGAATTGGAACTCTGCTGCTGATTGGGATGGAGTATTTATGGTTCCTAGCTCTACTGATTTGGTGTATCCACTTCTTTTGCTTATTACACTTACTAAAGCCATGGGCTATGATTCCATGACTTCTTATAGCACTACATATCACAGTTTTCTGGGAAGACAGAAAGGTGCCTATACAATACTGTTTGTGTGTGTAACAACAAGGTGTTCACTATACACATGTCTTTGAAGATTGAATGAAAAACCCTTACAGTGATGGGGACATAACCAGGTGTTTTTTCTTTCTCAGTTCCCCAGAGTTGATGAGGCATCCAGAGCTAAACATAGATGTCAAAGAACTAGGACCTCTGTTAGAGAACAACTTTATTGTACATCTGAGAAACCAGTAAGAGATCTGCCTTGTGTTTGTTGACTTTTAGAGAAGCATCATCATGTGCTTGGTGAAAATGATTGCGTCTGGGTCACAAGCAGTTTGTTTTTGCAGTTACATGTTTTTGATCTGTGTTTGGGTTTTTCTTTGTTTCTTCTTGACTTTATGTCAAGATAATCTGTAAGTCTTCTTATAATCTGTAAGTCTTCTTCTTGTCCTTTTCTTCTTAATCTTGCCCTCCTTCTACTCTGCCTCTGCTACCATCTTCTTCATTTCCACATCTTCTTCTCCTCCTTTTGCTGTGAATTCCTATGCACTTTGTCTGCCCCTCAACACAGAGCTAGCCTTAGATAATCGCATTACCTGGGCGAGAATTGTCATGAATCATTTGTTGAACTTCTGATTCTGCAGCATCTGCTGTCCAGTCCCTGCACTCACGACCTAAAGTGATACCCTACACAAATCTTAAACTTGCTCTGACACTTTGAGCTACTCCTCTCACACCCAAATGTATCAAGCCTGCACACTTGTCTAATTGTGTCTTCAGCTTGCGCTTCCAAGACCTTCCTCTTTTCAGTCTTTTACAGCTCTACCAAGGGCTTCATGCAGGAAATGCTTCTTGTCTGAAGCTACTCCGATATATGACTTTGCTTGCAAAACTTCTGCAATAGTAGGCAGTGCAAGTATATATCACATACATACTACCAGGGTATCTCTTGTAAATACCAGAATAACCCACATGGCTTCATTCTGTATGTGTTCAAGTTTCATCAGCTGACTCTTGAATATGGTAAGCATTTAAAGCCCATAATCTATCACTGACAGGATCACATGCTGGAACACTGTGAATAGCATTCTTTGTTCCAAGTTCATTGCTGCAATATTCTTGAGAGCATTGAGACTTTTTTGGCATTTCACCTCAACTGCCTCCACATGATCCCTGAAGGACAGGCTTCCCTCTAAAATGATACTCAAGCACCCTCAGTTTGCTTTCTCTTTTGATGCTGCTGTTATTTACTGTGAGGCTTGGAACATTAGCTCTCACAGTTCTATTGTTCAGAGAACACCACAAAATAGCCGCCTTTTCTGTGTTAATGACAGCACCCATTTCTGCCAATCATTCAGTCACTTAATCTTCAGTTGCCTGTAGCTCTTGGGTATCAGTTGCCTATTACTCCTCTGCTTGTATGCAAGTATATCATCAGCAAATGTCAGTATCCTTCCGGCACCTGGTGCTTCAAGTTCTACAGTCTTGCTTGTATACACATTGAAGAGCACTGGTAAAATTGCAGAACCCTGGGGTAGTCCCGGGGTGGTATTACTTGGTTCTGAAGTCCATGTACCCAGTAAAAGGGCAACCATACATAAATGAAGGACAGCTGCTATCCAGTTCACAAGCCAGGGACAAACCCCTTTCTCCATGAGTGCAGATAGCAATATATCATACCTGACGGTGACTCTGTTGTAGGCTCCCTCAAGATCAAATGCTGCCACAACTGTCTCCTCTATGTTCTGGAAGCCCTCATAAACATAAAAAGCAAAAGTAGCTTCATTTGACCAGGTATCTTTCCATGGTCGGTAGCTACCCAAATCTTTTGGCAGGAACATTTTCCTTTCCAAAAACATATCTAGTTTAACGTCAACAAACTTCTCTAGCACCTTGCCAAAAGTATTTTGTAGGGTGATAATCCTGAAACCGCTTAGTCTGGAAAGATCTTAGCCTGGTTTTGGAAGTGGGATTAGGTAGCTGTAAACACAGTCCTGGTAGTACTGAAGCTGTTCTGATGCGGTTGTTAAAGTGAAAAGCCATCTCCTTCAAGTTTTCATCACTCAGGCTCTTTATGTGGGCATACCTGACTCCATCCGGTCCCAGCGCAGTGTCTTTTGCTTTTTGCAATATAGATTTTATATCCTCCACCCTAATGATATCCTAAAAATAATCATCATTTATAGCAGACAGATTATCTCTAACTGAATTTCTAAGCTCCCTATCATTAGGATCAGTTATAAATCTTTTCAAAAAGGCTTCCCCTTCCTCTTTGTTGTCATTGGCATGCCATTATCTGTGTATATAATGCCTGTTGTGATAGACCAATCCTTCTATGCATCTGCCTGTGAAGTTCTCAAAACCTACCCAGTGATCTATCTCCTCTGATTTCCCTCTTAAATGTTCCAATTTTTAGGCGTTTTTTGCATATGCTGCATACGGCTTGAATTCTTCTACTTTTTCTTTTCTAACTCTTTCTAGCTTATCTATTCCCTCTTTTTAACCTGTAAGGTGTCTCTCACACTTTCTGTAATTGTTTAACTGCTGCTCGCTTTGCTCTCCATACCTCTTCTACTTCTTAGGTGGAGGGTGAACAGAAGCAGAGGTGGTGGTTCTGCTGCATACCTTCTGTCAAAGGCATCAAAGAAGGGCACTGGCTCTCTCATACTTTAAAGTCTTGCATGTTCTCACAGGGCTGACCTTGCTAGCTTTAGAAATCAAGACTGAGTATGGTATGTGGTCACTCCAATGATCATCATGATGTGCAAGAGAAACCCTAAAATGAACACAGATGAGAGATGCCAAAGGTGCTGGACTGGAATATGTCCATGAAATTGAAGGGATTGCACAGGATTCAATGGAATGGAGGAATAGACTGCAAGCCCTGGGTAACATATATGGCACAACAGGACAGTGATGATGATGATGATGATGATTTTAGACTAGGTCAGCGTGGGTGCTAAGGTCAGTTACAAAAAATGCAACTTGATTCAAACGATAGACCTTTCATTTGGCATGCAAGCATTAACCATTGTACTACAAGCTCATGGTTATAGGAAGAGTTATATTCTCATAGATTTTCCTGATCCCTTGAAAATATCCTGGGAAGTAAAGCTGGCTGATGTGATGGGATCCACATTACTGGTTTGAGTTCTGATTATTCTGTTAGACTCCCAGTGTGGGTTTCAGAGCCCTGTTATGGGGTGTGGGGGCAGGAGAGGAAACAAAGAATAGACCCACTGCTTCTCTAACAGACATGTCATAAGAGTCGACCAATTAGGAGTTTTCTTCAAAGTGGGTGGAGCCGCTGTGATGTAGCGGCTAGACACTCGCCAGTGGATTGGAAGATTGTGGCTTCAGGTCCTGACAGAGCTGGACTTTTTTCAAAATGATCTTGTCTCCCAGGTCGATCCTGCCTTAAACGGGTACCAGCTACAGTCCTGGGAAGTAAATGTGGCCGGCGTGATGCTGACCACATCACACACCAAGTGCCGATTGGTTTATGGATCTACCCTGTTTGCTCAGTACGCTTGAAGGCATGGAAAAGGATCCTTTACTTTTTACTTACTTTCAAAGTGGGACTACATCTGCCTGAGAGGCAAGGAACCAACAAGGCATACAGATAAGCTAAAACTGTAAAATGGTTGTGCACACAAAAGTCAAGTTCTGGAACAAGACTAGTCCAGTAGTGGATGGCAACCAGAACATTCCCTCGGAGTTTACAGCTGGTGAACAAGAAGAAGAAGAAGAACAAGAAGAAGAAAGTCTGTAAAAAATATCAGTTTAGCACCTTATTCTCACTAGGGCTCTGTCGTTGACCCAGGCAAAAACTAGGTACCAGGAAGTGTCCCAGGAAGTGAAGGCAGCTGGTGTGATGTTATTTGGTCTATAATAAACTGGGTTTAGTACCCTGTGCCCAGTCCACCAGTGTCATGTCAAGGGTCCTGAACTTTTACTTTACTTTCACCTAATAACTCAAGTCACCCATGACTTCTTATTCTGTGTTAATCATTAGAAAGGTTGTTACCCCCTCATGTTGTGGTTTACAGTTAGACTGTGATATCTGCAGCTTTCGGCCCAACACATCCAGTTTCATCAAATTCCTAATTAGTCACCTATGACATACTTGTTAGGAGCAGTGTGTCTGCCCCTCCCCTCCCCCCTTTCCCCCTGATAGGCCCCAGAACCCACACTTGGAATCTGTTAAGCCCATGTTAAACACATAGATGGTTTTCTACAGATACTTGAAAAACATGAAGCAGAATATAGCGGAGTGGAGCAGGAACACACTGCGTACAGATATGAAGGTGAGTGAGCATCACAGTAATTAAAGAGATGTCAGAACAAGTAACAAGTTTCTCCTATCTTAGTCCTGAATTAGAAGTCAGAAAGAGAATAGGAATGACAAAATACTGTTTTCAACATCATGTAGAAATTATTGACATAAAGGGAGATAATTAAAAAATTGTTTGCTGTCTTCATAATAGAGTTTGCTAAAATGTATCAACTGATAGCCATATGAATTTTACATGGTAAGGCCCCAGTCTCTCCCACAGTGCAACTATTGTACTGTGTCTGAAAGCTACAAGAACAATCAGTTAGTTCCACGATAATCTCCCCTGCCGAACTAGGTCATGTTCCATTGATACATTTTTTAGACTTCTCTGATGTCTTGGGGGTTACAGCTATGTTGTTTCCTTTCTGGCTTGTCTTGCATTTACATTTTTCTTCTAAGAAGGAGAATGCCTGTGACAGAGCAGCACTCTCTAGGGGGGTTGTGGGTTAGACCCAGTTTCTAAATGTTTTTGTATTGTTAAAAGCGCTGGTGTGCTTAAATTTACTATACGCTATATCAAGGGCATTGCCGAACACCCCCGTAGCAGTGAGCGAAGGTCGGGTGACGAAAGGTCAACCAATCAGAAGGGAGATTATCATGGAACTGACCGAACAATCTTTTCCTTAACTGCTCACAGCAGGAATATAACCTGGGTATACATCGAGGATTACATTGAGAGATAAACAGCACATTAGAATGAGAATTATCAGATGTTATTTATGCTCAGCCCTACTGCATACATATATATGTGTGGATTAGTCCCTGATATGTATGACTGACTGCTCCCCTGACATATAAGTGTATGCATTAGTCTGTACCTATCTATACCTTTCTGTTTCATCTCAGGACTGGATCAAGGATGAGCCACCAGACCAGGATGGAGATGGTTTCTTCAACACTCAGCTACCCGTGATTATTTTCCAGATGATGGAACAGAATGTGAGCGTTTTTCTTTGTCACTCACACTGTGATTGTCTCTTTCTTCTTCTTTTTATTCTTCCTCTCCTCTACCTCCCCATCCTCCTCCTCCTCCTCCTTATTCTTCTTGCAAGAGTTTTTATCATAAATGGCCCACTTCTCTCCACAAAGTGGTTTGTTGGCCATAGAGAGCATCAGACAAGTTTCAGAACTCTAGCTCCAGCAGTAACTCCAAGGGATTGCAAAGCACTGTATTCACAGAACTAAACTTATAAATTTGAGAGCAGAAGGCACATGGCTTAATGATTGTGCCACAGAGTTGACAACCCACATCACAGCACGTGGAACATTCTCATAACTGCTCCATCCCCATCTTCAGCAGCAAGGCCAGTTCCACTTTCAGTGGTACCCGTTAAAATATGATTGTCTAGCTTTTCCTCTGAATGTTGAGCATCAGTCAGATCTTGTAGGATCCTCCCCTCCTCTTCCCTCCCTCAATCCCAAAACCCAGACTGCCTCTGCCTTCATTCTCAAGCTAGGTGTGGTATCATATTCCAGCTTTCATTGCAACCAAGGTTGTCAGTTGGCTTTTGCACTTCTTCTGCCTCTCAACACAGAGCCACCTGTATAGATAATCACATCCCCATGGAGGGAATTGTAGTGGACTAGTAGCTGTTGTGCCACAGAGATGTAATATAACATTCAAAAACCTATGATATTTATCTGTACATGTAACCTAATATTGCAGTGAAGGTGTAAGTTATTCCCTCACACTGCTGCTGACACTGCTTCGAAGAAATACATTAAATATATAATATAGTAATGCTGGTTCTGAAATCTCACTGATGTAAAGGTGGAAGACTTTTCTTGACATGAGCAGATCTACACTCACCATTGTCATTTACTGTGTTGCCATTGACATCCTATAGCACAGTATAACACTGTCATCTGGAAAGATGGAAAGGTGCCACCCAACTTCGGACTGTCCCATAGGTGCTTAAGAACCCCCTTAAACATACATATCAGTGTCTCATGACTGATTGTATCATTGCTATGCTGATTGACAAGACCTTTCATACATCTGGTATGCCTTTAACTCTTGGCTGTCCCCATCTTTGATCCTAAATCTCCTTCTTCCTCTTTTGTTCGCTTGAAATAGATTATCTATATCTGCAGTGAAGGAGACAAAGTTCTTTGGTCATGTAACGAAAAAAGGAGCACTAGAAAATATTGTGACGACTGGAAAGATCACTGGTAAAAGAAGTAGAGGCAGACCAAGAGAAATAATGGTGGACGGCTTTAGACAGTGACATGGAGGAATATCATCAGTAGAATTGATATAGAACACCAAAGACCGAGAACTGTGGCGAAGCATTAATGCTTACGCCAGCTGACAAGGCACTTGATGATGATGATATCTGCAATGTTGTCTCTGGTTTGAACTTCACTGTCTCTTGTAATTCAATCAGTGACTCGAAAATTGTCTTTATATGTTGTATTTTTGACAGTCTTGGAGGACACGATCTGTTGTCTCAGGTGCCAATCCTCATGTACACATGGCTGACTCAACATCCTAAATCTTTCATTCTCAGCAGTGGTGTGGACACACAGCCCCAAAATCAATCCAGCTCTCTCTGGGGGCATTAATTGTGTTGGCATGATCCATTTTCTACAGTTTCAGAGTCAGCCAGTCAATCAGCTGGCATCATCACCCACTCCACAACGACTCAGTCCACTGCCTAAGTAAGCCTCCACCTGTCAGATCATGCTCATAGAAAAACTCAGTACAGAGAAATGGGTCTCTAATATTTTATATAGAGTGCTGAATGTTAAACACAATTAATGCTTATTGCTTTATTCTGTCTATTTTTTCTTCTGAACCGTTTTTATTCATTTTCTGAACTGTACCAGCTGCAAGTAGCCAACATCATTGGTCAAGATTTGGTCAAGAAAGTTCTGGAACTGTTTGCAGAGGAGCTCAACAGATTTGCCCAGGAATATTTTAGTGAGTACTAGAGTGGTTCACTTGTTTACTGGTTACAGGACTAGATTTTTATTTTTGTGTATATGCCTTTTATCCATATGTGTATGCGCACGTCTGCTTGTGTGCGTGCGTGCGTGATGATTTAAATCGATCAGTGTCTTTAGTCTACTTCCTCATCTTCCTAATCATTTTCATCTACTGTTCCTCTTTCTACTTCTGCTCCTGGTTCTGCCTACACAAAATGGACTGTAAGTGCTCAGCCAACACAAACCACACCCTTTGTCGAATTGTTCATACCTTGATTTTCTAATTTACTCTATATATTGACTAATCATTTAACATCTTGTTTTTGCAGTTGAACTACAAGGCTTTGAAGAGCGTCATCTGGCAGACAGAAAGGAACCGAAGTACTTTGTTCACTATGTGGTAATAATGACTTTATTTGCAACACTGCGTCATGTCTTTTTTTTGCACACTGCTTTAAATTTGTGCACGATTTTCCCCATCTGTTATTTGTATCTCTGATAATAAATAACTGGTTTTTTTTAAAAATAATGTCAGAAATAAGTACTGATTGGGTGGGAAAAAGAAGGGGTAAGGGTAGACGGGGTTTGAACTGGTTGCTTCATGCTATAGGGAGAGATATCTCTGTTTTGCGTGGTTAAGCTGGCTACTTCATGCTATAGGGGGTGCAACTTTTGTGGAAATCCTCAGGATCGTCGGTGGAGCTACAAAGAACCTGCTTTGGGTGATGCTCCCTGTAGCAAGCTGTTCTATAGAGAGAGACCGAGCCATATGAAATAAATCGGAGTATAAGGAAGGCATTCCTGTCAACTTTAAACATTTATAGGGAAATATGGAAATCACAGCACATGGCAAAGACAAGTTTTACTAAGGTAATACATTTTTAGTATCCTTCCCCACCCTCCACGACCACCATTTCCAGATGTGTCCCTGTCATGTAAGGAAATGTTACCAACCTAGGCTTAATTGTTTGTTCATTCATTCTCTTCCCATGTCTCTCACTCCTTATTTCTCACCCTTTCTACTTTCCTCTTTCATTCTCTGTTTACTTCTCTCTCTCTACCTCTCTCCTTCTTTGCCTTTATCATTCCTACTCTGCCTCTATCTCCTTTCCTTCATTTCTCTTGTTACCATTCTCTCTCTTGCTTTCACTCTTGAAATTCAGTATTATCCATATATTCTGTGCTGATATCTCAATAAATAATGTATACTTAGATAAATTGGACACATCCACAGATTGCCAATGCAAACAACTGTCTGGCATTTGGGGAGTACATGAAAGAGTTGCGCAAAAGGTACATCAAAAGTGACTATGAGGAGGAGATTGCTGACGATACAGAACAGATCAGGAAAGACCCATTCCAGCAACTGACAGACAGGTTTCTGCAGTTGGCTAAGTTTTGGTCAGTATCGCAACATTGTTAGAATACTTTGTTCTATATCTAATAAATAATGCAAGAGCTTGTTCCATATTCCTTGCGTTGTGTAGGGTATATGATGCCAGTCCTAAAATTTTATGGTCAACACAAAATGTGCTTTTTTATTGTTCTGTTCTTTGTCTTTTGTATGTTGTTCTCATGTCTGTCTCTTGTCTTTTGTCTGTTGTTCTCATGTTTGCTGTCTTGTCTTTTTGTCTGTTCTTCTCATGTTTGCTGTCTTGTCTTTTGTCTATTCTTCTCATGTCTGTTCTCTTGTCTTTTGTTTGGTGTTCTCATGTCTGTTCTTCTCTTGTCTGTACTCTTGTCTTTTGTCTGTTCTTCTCATGTTTGCTGTCTTGTCTTTTGTCTGTTTTTCTCGTGTCTGTTCTCATGTCTGTTCTCTTGTCTTTTGTATGTTGTTCTCATGTCTGTTCTCTTGTCTTTTGTCTGTTCTTCTCATGTTTGCTGTCTTGTCTGTTCTTCTCATGTTTGTTCTGTTGTCTTTTGTATGGTCTTCTCATGCTGAGAAAGGTCGAGACAGGCATGCTTTGTGCAGAGTGGCAAGCATCACTTCAGAGATTCCGAGTAGTTAGCGTTCTTTAGATATTTTGTCCAGGTGATACCGGTATGTTGTAAGCTAATGTTGTGAGGGCCCTTTGGGAGCGAGTGGACAGTGAGGAGGCACGGTCTGAGAATAGCAGCTCTGTGGGAAGTTAACAGGGGATCTGGCCAATGCTTAGCACTCAAGGGAAGGGCGAGATCGATAAACAGTTAGACAGTTACTGGTACCATCTGAATTGGAACCCCTCACTTGCTGCTGAAGATGGGGACAGAGCACTTATGGAAGTGTTCCGAGTGCTGTGATGTCCATTCTTAATGCAACATTCAACATTCTTTTGTTCTTCTCATGTTTGTTCTCTTGTTTTTTGTCTGTTCTTCGCATTTTTGTTCTCTTGTCTTCTGTCTATTTTTTTCTGCTTTATCACGTTCACTGTCTGTAAACTCTGGCAGAAAGTTCTGGTTGTTTGTCCACTTAAGGACTAGTCTTGTTCCAGAACTTGAGTTTTGTGTGTACATTTCTTTTATGGATCTGGCTTATTTGTAAACAGACTGTTGGTTTCTTGCCTCTCGAGCAGACACAATCTCACCTCAAATAAGTCTTTGATCTGTTGTTATTAAGTTTATTCTCTTTGTTTTTTGTGTTTGTTCTTCAATTGTCTGTTGTTTTTTCATGTTTGGCTCATCTTTTCTCTGCTGTTTTCATGTTTGTTCTTTTGGGTTTCTGTTCTTTTGTCCTATGTTGTCTAGCCTATTTTCTTTCATTTATTCTCAAGTCTTTGTTGTTGTCGTTGTTCTCATGCCTTTTGTTATGTTGTATTTTATTTATCTTGTGTTTCTCATATCTCCTCTTCTTTTTTCATTTGTTCTTTTGTCTTCTTTCTCTTATAATTTGTTCTATTAATTATCATTTGTTCTCTTATAATTTGTTCTTTATCCTCTTTCCCTATCATTTGTTATATAAATTATCATTTGTCCTCTTATCATTTGTTCTTTTGTCTTCTTTTTCTCATAATTTGTTCCATTAATTATCTTTTGTTTTCTTATCATTTGTTTTCTTATGTTCTTATGTCATGTCATGTGTTCTCTTATCTTCTTTTCTCTTATTATTTGTTTATTATCGTTTTTTGTCTTGTCCTTTATTTTCTTGCCTCTTGTTCACTTCTAATTTATTATCTTGTTACTTGTTCTCTCATCTTTTATTTTAATGTCATTGTTTTTCTTGTGAATTTCCCATTGACTCCGGCACTAACAATAGGTAACATATATTCCAGCTGTGACATCATCTTGGAGGAACTGTTCATTGACTTGCGAGAAAGCAACTGTCTCAATGACCTCATGACTAGAAACTGGTGAGTCACTACCAACTTGGCTGTTTTATTCTGTTGTGAATATTTTGTTCCCTTGAATGTAAAGTACCTTGCTTTCTTTCATCCTCGTTTTCTTCTGCCATTACAGGGAGATGCAGTGGTGTAGCCGCAAGACACATGGCTGTGGATTGGAAGGTCATGGGTTCGGGTCCTGACAGAGCCGACTTTTTTCCCCTTCAAAAATGACCTTGGCTCTCAGGTTGACCCAGTCTTGAGTGAGTACCAGGTATAGCACTGGGAAGTAAAGAAGGCTGACGTAAAGTTGACCGCATCTGAGTGCCCATTGGTCTGTTAAATATATGCCTAGCTGTATATGCCCAATACACCCACTCCATGCTCTCCCTATATTTTCTCTATGTGTTTGTTATCTACCTTTATTTCTTTGACCCAGTGGGTGCCAGTGACATGCTAATTGTATTACCGGTTTTATTGCCCTAAAAGGTGACATGTTTGAGGCTTGGTATGGTAACTATATCTTGTGTGTGTTGTCTAACATCCCCCTATCTCTGCTTCTTTCCTCTAAATTGTTGTTTCATCATTTGGAGATGACAGATTTGACCCAAATTGTAAATATACCTTTCAGTTTGTATGTTGCTAATTGTGTCCTTCTGTCTATACTTAGAGGCCTATAAAAAGGTGTTTCACATGTTTGAGGACAGATACAAGCCCCAAATGGTAATTATACCTTGTGTGTGTTGTCTAACGTCCCCCTATCTCTGCTTCTTTCCTCAAAATTGTTGTTTCATTATTTGGAGATGACAGATACAAGCCCCAAATTGTAAATATACCTTTCAGTTTGTATGTTGTCTAGTGTGTCCTTCTGTCTATACTTATTTCCTATAAATTGTTGTTTCATCATTTGGAGATGACAGATACAAGCCCCAAATGGTAAATATACCTCTCAGTTTGTGTGTTATCTAGTGTTTCCTTCTATCTATACTTTTTTTTCTTTTTACCTATGAGTATCAGTCATGACAATTTGTTTACCACATTTAATATGAATACATGAAGTAATTACATATTTTTTCCATCAAGGATGGCCAATTCTAACGGCGTGGAGACCATCATTGCCACGTGGGCTGATTATCACAGAGACTTTCTGCACCTGAAGCCAACAATGTATGAGATTCTCCTGGCTAAAGGTCAGAGAAGGGTCATTAAGGAATACCTCAAAGCACTTCTGTCAAGGTACCAATCAGTTTGCATTTTTTCAATCCTAATATTGTGCTTAATTAGTAAGAAGAAAATTTAAGCTCTTGAACTGTTATCCTTTAAAATAAAAGCTTGCTTTTTCCACCCTTTAAAAAATAGGATATATATAAAATCTGTCTGTTTTATAAATTAACCCCATCTGCTCTGTTTTAATAATAATTAATTCTTTCCTTTTAAATTTGTTGTTTAAACTAAACCCATGATGTCATTTATCAAAATGCAACCCATTATGTCTTTGTAACTATAACCCATTCTGTCAGTTTTTAAACTGCAACCCATTCAGTCTGTGCTTTAACCCAAACCTGTTATGTTCTGTCTAATTGCAACCCATTCTGTCATTTTTTAGAAACTGTAACCCATTCTGTACTTTTATCATTCTGTCCTTTTTTAGATATAGATTTACCCAAACCTTGGCGGGAGACATTTCGCAAATGACGGAGAAGCTGAATGTGAAGCAGAAATGTGGTTTAGAAAACAGAGCATGCAGTTGTGTGCAACAGATTTGGGAGGACTCATTAAATGATGAAAGAAATGTATCAATTTTGGTGGATATTATGTTGAAAAATTAAGGGACAGTTTATGTGTAAAAATAAATGGTTTTCAAGTTGTTTTTTAACAACCATTTGTGACTTACTTATTGAATTTTCCTCATATATCATGATATGTAAAATATTTTATGAAGTACTTAATACAGCACATAAAATGACTAAAAAGCAAGATTTCTGGAATGGAAACAATGTCTTTCCCTTGTACTATATATTTTTCCTAAATGTGTTCCAGGTGCCATTTCTGGGGGTATAAAAGAACAGTCTGATTATTCTTTATATTCATGTTGTAAAAAAGTAACTAAGATTTGCTGAAATCAGATGTGTTTTGGCAGAAAGGTATAGATACCACAACCTCGCTGGCAACCGCAACACATCGTGCCAACTGGCCTGTTCAGGGTGAACACAGAAGAAGAAGAGACAATATTTTTAGTTGTATTTTCTTCTTTCAGGAAACTCTCTTTCAAGAACTACGAGGAAAGGAAAGCGTCAGCAGAAAAGATCTGTGCAGAGGCAGAACAAATTAAACACCAGTTTATAGACATGTGTGGCAAACTGGTTAGTCGTCGGCTTTTTTGTTAATTTCTCCTTAATTTGTCTTCTCCTTTTTCCCTTTCCCTTTCGATTCTGTCACACTTTTATCTTCCAGTAGAGTATAGACCTTATTTGGGCACTAACATAGATAAAGATGGAACTGATAGAGATATAAAATAGGGATACGAAAGGCAAGAGCAGTTTTCACAGCACTAGGAAATTTGTGGATGTAAAAGGAAAACTAAAACTAAACTTAAAATGTGTAATTCTGAGATGAAATCAGTACTACTGTGTGAGAGAAAGACATGAAGAACAACTACAACAATTATTAGTAAACTACAAACATTCATTAACTGGTGCCAGAATAGAGGGAAGTCAGTTGTATAGAACTGCCAATTTTAAGCCCTGGGTTGGAACTACAATTTCGGTGAATCAAGCAGTGAAGAAAAGACGCTGGCATTGAATGGGACACACATTGAGAAAAAGAACAGTAAAACTAGAATGTCTTTGCCCTGGAACCGACAAGGACATAGAAATAAAGGCACATGGAGATAGAGAGAGAGGTTACAAAAACAGATAGGGTGTATATGAAGTGAGCTGTACGCAGTAGGAATTGACGGGCAACTTGGTGTGAGCTGGTTAAGGGACAAGTCTCCATTGCGGGATAAAGGGCAGAGGAAAATGAAGAAGGGAACAGACCTTTGATTTTTTGTTTTTGTTTTTGGGTACGAAAAATAAACAGAAGTAAAAACCATAAGTGAAAATGTCATTGCAAAAGATTCTTCATTATTATATATATATATATATTATATATATATTATATATTATATATATATTATATATATATATATAATTTTTGCTAGTTTTTGCCTGTTCTGTTTAATTAATATAAGCAAGTTTTTCTTGTTCTGTTTAGTTGATATAAGCTAGTTTTGCCTGTTGTGTTTAGTTGATGTAAGCTAGTTTTGCCTGTTGTGTTTAGTTGATATAAGCTAGTTTTTCCTGCTGTGTTTAATTGAAATAAGCTAGTTTTTCCTGTTCTTTTTTTGTTGTTGTTGATATAAGCTAGTTTTATCTGTTCTGTTTAAATAATGTAAGATAGTTTTACCTGTTCTGTTTATTTTATATAAGCTAGTTTTACCTGTTCTGTTCATTTGATTTAAGTAGTTTTTTTCTGTTCTGTTTAAATAATGTAAGCTAGTTTTACCTGTTCTGTTTCATTTGATTTAAGGAGTTTTACCTGTTCCGTTTATTTGATACAAGCTAGTTTTACATGTTCTACTCATTTGATTTAAGCTAGTTTTACCTGTTCTGTTTAGTTGATTTAAGCTAGTTTTGCCTGTTCTGTTTAGTTGATTTAAGCTAGTTTTGCCTGCTGTGTTTAATTGACATAAGCTAGTTTTACGAGTTCTGTTTATTTGATATAAGCTATTTTTATCTGTTCTGTGTAAAGAATATAAGCTAGTTTTACATGTTCTGATGTTATGACTTTGATTCCTTAGATTGTTTCTTTATTTTCTTGGTGTTACTACAATACCTGAACAACTGATATTGTTTTGTCTTTCCTTCTCTAGGATGTGTCGTTATTTGATGTCTTACCACATCTCTCTGAATGTTTGAAGCTGAAGGACACATCAATGCTGTCACTAGAAATTATGGTATGTACGGTTTTTGACCTAAGCTGCAGAAGTGCGGTCTGTAATGCTTACGTTCAAACAGATTGAATTGCTTCATTAGTAATAGGGATATCCTCCTCTACCTGATATCGGTATGTACCACAGGAAGAATGCATGCTCTCCAAATTATTACTCTTTTTTTTTTCACTACTGTTTTGCTACAGGTTTTTTCTTCTTCTTCTACGCGTTCACAAGCTGAAAGCTCCGGTGGAACTTCTGGTTGTTCATCCACTTCTGGACTCTAATCTTGGTCCAGAACCTGAGTGTTGCGTGTATATCCCTTTCACAGGTCTGACTTATTTGTATGCAGACTGTTGGTTCTTTGCCTTTCAGGCAGATGTACTCCGTCTTCGAAGGAAGCTCCAAGTTAGTCGACTCTTACTACATGCTTTTGGGCAGGCATTAGGTCTTTTCTTGTTTTCCTCACAACTGGGCCCCAGAACCCACATGGGGACTACAGGTTGATTTAAAGCTGTTTAACCTCTTCATTCATGTGATCAATTGCTGTATGACTTCTGTTGGTTGTTAATTATAATAATGGAATGTTTAGTAAAAGTAAAGACCCTTTTCCTTGCCTGGGTTGGGTATATAGTGCTAAATCTATATTTTATATACCAATCAGCACTCATTATATTATGTGGTCTAATTTAGGCCGACCACCTTTACCTCCCATGACTTTGCTTAGTATCCATTTAAGGCTTGGTCGACCTAAAAGCCAAGATAATTTTTTTTTTAAAGTTCATCTCCGATCAGATTTGAACCCATGTTTGTTATCCACAGGTGAATGTCTTGCTGCTACATCACGGCGGCCCATCAGACTTATAGTGCTAGACTTGTATTTTTAAAGAAGAATCATTTTTTTAAGTCAGTGGGTAATATTTCAGACTACAATCCTAGAGGGGAATAATTTCACTTTTTAAAGATTGCACACTAAAAGATGCAATAACCTGTCATCTATGATGTTGTGGATTAAGTTATGGAAAAGGAAGCTACATTGAGGCAGGGTTTACCGTCATAAGTTGTTAACAAGTTACAGTCAGTTACAATACTTAGAGATCTAACTAATGGTAGGTTATATATCTCTTGACTGTACCCCTCAACATCTTGACCTTACTTCTCTTCTGTCCATGTTCTCTAGATTACTTCATGCCCATTGTCTCTTTGCCTTTACAAGGCAGCACACACACAGTTTCCAATTTAAAAAAAAAATGTATATTAGTATCTCTACAGCCAGTGGACCCCTAAGCAAAGTCATTATATGTAGTCTCAAATATAATTGTGTCCCTGTCCATATTTTGTTATGCTGGGTGATGAAAGCTTTTTAGCTGCAACATTCATTTTTTTTCCCATCTTTTCTGACTGTGTTTTATTGGGAAGCTGCATAGATCTACTTCTTGTTTTGTGTTGATTATTTAATGCTGGGTTAAGAAACACACGGAGGCCGCCATGATGTAGCGGCTAGATTCCTTGCTGTGGATCCGAAGGTTGTGAGTTCAGGTCCTGATGTAGCCAGACTTTTAAACACTTCTTGTTTGTGTGTTTCAAAAAATGACCTTAGCTTCCAGGTTGGCCCAGCATTAAATGGGTACCAGGTAAGTCCTGGGAAGTAAAGGCGGCCTGCATGACCACATCAGCCACCAAGTGCCGATTGTCCTATAAAATATACCTCTAGCCATGTGTGCCCAATGCGCCTGAAGGTGTTGAAATGGGTCCTTTTACTTTAAAAAAAAAATCAGAAGAGACAAGTTAACTGATATCTGGTTTACCAGAGGATTATCAGCATGTTCACTCCTTATCCAGGGTTTTACACAAAAGTATCCAGACATCCGGATGGAGCAGTTGCTAACATTGATCTTATCCAGAGGAGATATTGGTCGAAATGATGCTCGTCAGGTAAGTTGTTCAATGGTCTTGTTGTTATCCAAATTAGCATGTCTAATGAGAATCAAAAGTTAGATTTTAAATTATTTTTGTTTCACCTGTTTAGAATTAGCACAAGTCTTTAATCCTATGTTATGCCATCTTTCTTAGCTCTCTCTCCTTTCCATTTTTTTGTATTAGGTCTTCTGCTAATTCTTTTGCTCTGTGAGTTCCACAGAAAAGAATTTCTAGATATACTGTTATATTTGCTCAATGTGTGGCTTATCCAGTATTAGCTTTTCTTCATCTCTTGAATGGAAACAGACACTGACAGCTTTCCACACCTTCATGTGTATTGGGTATATAAGGCTAGACCTTTATTTTATAAACCAATCAGCACTTGATGGGTGATGTGGTCAGCATTACACTGACCGTGTTTACTTCCCAGGACTCCACCTGATACCCATTTAAGGCTGGGTCGACCTGGCCAAGAGTGCAAATAGTGCATTCATTAAACTGAGTAACGCAGATTGTTCTTTGTCTTTGTATTCATCTGCCCTTTAACAAACCCCCCCCCCCCCCCCTATCTCCAGCCAGAGCGGCATAGGCCCTCAACCAACTCTTGCCGAGTAATCTAGTCTTTTATCACGCATAGCTCACCCTATGCCCTCTCTGTGCGCATAAACAAGGACATTTCGAATCAACAACTGATTTAACTATTAATATACCATCCATCAGCACCTGCCTCTCACTATCGTCTGTTCCCCGCGTGAGTTCTAGGGTCGCATTTTGGGGGAAAAAAAAGAATAGACCCACTGCCTCCCCAACAAGCATGTCATAAGTAAACTAATTGGGGCATCCTTCAAAGTCAGAATACATCTGCCTGAGAGGCAAAGAACCAACAGTCTGCATAAACATTAGTAAGATCTGTAAAAAAGACCCAAAACTCATGTCCTGGAACAAAGCCAAAGTCCAGAAATGGACGAACAGCCAGGTCTTTCTGCTAGGGTTTACAGCTGGGGAACGCAAACAAACAAACAACAACACTTTCATCTGTTTTCATCCTTTCTTTATCCCCCAGTTGAACATAGACCCTTAACCAGATCATGCTAAAGCATACTGTCCTTTGCTGTCCTAAGGCATACTGTACTTTGCTGTCCTAAGGCATACTGTCCATTGCTATCCTAAGGCATACTGTCCTTTGCTGTCACATGCTGCTTTCTTTATGTCCTTCCCATATGTTAAAGTTAAAGTAGAGAGAGGATCGACTTGGATCATTGCACCGGATTTTATCCCATATAGCTCCGTCTTTCTCTATAGAACAGCTAGCTGTCTGCCAAGAGCATTGCACAGAGCACAATGTGGCAAAATAACCACCTTCAGAGCGCGAGGGAAATGGCTTGACCACTTTGCCATGGAGACTCTCCATCCTGTATGAATGAACACAATAATTTAGTGCTGCCTTTGGCATAATAAACCGATGGTGGC